TGTGTGTGTGTGTGTGTGTGTGTGTAAACAGAAATGGGGGGCAAGTGGTTTGGGATATATATATATGGTTTGGAAACCTGCTTCCTTCACTTAAAGCTCTCTGGGCCATCTTCCCACATCAGGACTTCAGATCTCCGTCACATACATTGAACTCACTCTCTTTAATAGCTGTGCCTCATTCCACTGAACCCTGGGATTTGTTTAACTGGTTACCTATTGCTACACTTTTGGATGAAGCTCTTTTGTGAGTCTAAACCCGGGTTGGCCGTCTCTGAATCAGTATGATTGGAACGCAGCCACGCCCTTCTATTTACACGCCTTCCCCACGGCTGGGCCAGTCGCTGTGACAGAATGTGGCCTGCGAAGTCGAGAATATTTACATTCAGAGGAAAGTTTGCCAACCCCTGGTCTGAACAGTGCTGGCTCGACTCCCTCTTTGACGTACGTTTTTGTGCATTTGCGCTGGTGTTTCTGAGGGATGCATTTCTGGCGGAGGAACAGCTGGATCCCAGGCGTGGACCTGCCAGGTTGTCCTTGCAAGGGGTGTGGCAGCTTTAGACTTCGCCTCCGGGATGCGAAGCGTCTGTTTATTTCCCTCACACGCTCGACAGCCTTGGGTGTTACCATTCTTTTCAATCACCGCCCATCTAAGGGAAGGAAAAAGTAATTTTTACTCTTTGAATTTGTATTGCTTTCACTATTAATGTGATGGAATGCCTTTCCCAGCTTAATGCTCCATTTATTACTCTATAAATTATCTTGTTAACTTTCTTTCTCTGCTTGTAGAGTCGTTTCCTTTTCTCCTGACTCAAGGAGCTGTTTTGACGTTAGAAGCGTGTTTTGTACCAGACAGGTGCAGGCAGGGGCCTGTGCAGTGGGCTGTACCCCCGGACGGGCTGGTGCCCCCCCGGTGCTGTGTCCCTCCGCTGACAGCCTTTCTCCTCTGTTCCAGGCTTTTCTAGAGCGTTACCTCAGCGCGGGCCCCACGCTGCAGTATGACAGGGAGCGCTGGCTGTCCACGCAGTGGAGGCTCGTGAGCGACGAGGCCGTGACGAGTGGGCTGCGGGACGGACTCGTGTTCGTGCTGAGATGTTTGGACTTCAGCCTGGTCGTCAGTGTGAAGAAAATTCCCTTCATCGTGCTCTCGGAGGAGTTCGTAGACCCCAAGTCTCACAAGTTTGCCCTCCGCTTACAGTCCGAGACGTCGGTTTAAGTGTCCCACGTTTATGGCTTCATTCAAAGAGAGACGATAGATCTGTGTGCACCCGAGGGCCACCCCGTTCGCGTTGGTTTTTGTGGCTGAGACTGGCAGGCGACCGGCCAGCGGCCTCTGACCGTCTGCACTTTATTTGGAAGGAAGCAGGGATGTCCGCCTTGGGAAACGGTGACTGGGGACCCCTGACTCTTGTGGATGGGACGTCTCAGGAAGCCGTTCCTGGCGCAGCTGTAACCAAAGCGGAGCTGGCGGTTCGGGGAAACCTCGCCTTACAACTCAGTCCCTGCCTCTCGCCCAGCGCCATACCCTCCCTCGGCTTCCAGGGGACGCATCGTAATTCTGGTTCTGGAAGCCAGACACATGGCCACAGATGTGTGTGTATGTAAATGTCCAGTTCCATGCCACCCACGGGAGCCAGGGGCTGGTCTTTGTTGCCTTAGGTTCTGGAGAGAAAGTTCACAGCAAAAGATGTGCACTAATGATTTGATGTGATGATTTTTTTCCCAAAGAGAAAACCTGCCTGCTTTCCTGACCCCGCTTCCCTACGGACCAGAGCAGGTAGCCTTTGCTCACTCTGTGATCGGCACTGTCTTCACCCACCACCCTCCGCACCACACACACACACACACGCACACACACACACACACGCACACACAGCCCCCGCCTGGCTGGCAGGCCTGGCCAGGGGAGCACAGCCTTCAGAGCTGCCTGGGACCGGGACCTGACCCTGCCCGTGTGCCTCATTGGTCCCACGGGCTGTCTGCCTAGGGAAGCGTGGATCGCCCACCAGGTAGATCCCAGCGAGGGCAAGCCAGCTAGAATGTCCCCTTGGGGCTGCAGCAGGAGCCTGTCCCCTCCTGCCACTCCTCTGCCCTGCTCCCCGCTGACCAGAGAGGACTGACACTGTGACCGGGACTGGCAGCTTCAGTGTGGAGCTTCTAACGTCCCCGGGGAGACAAGTTCCCCCAAAGCTTCATAGCAGGCTGCCTGCCAGGGGAGACCAGACAGTGCCCCTGCCGTGACAGCTGCTGCTGTCCAGCCCCCGATTTCTGACCACCGTCACTGTGTAACGAGCTCAAGCCCTCTGCCTCCTACTCCCCAGAAGGGCTGTCGGCCCCTGGTGTGGACATGGCTTGTAGAGTTTGGTCAAGGGAGAGGGAGTGAAATGGCCACAGAGTGTAGGGAGAGGAGAGCGGGGAGCCCGTCGGGGGTCCAGAATGATTCATCCGTGATCTGCTTCTTAAATGCAGCTGGGTCCAGTGGGCTGTCCCATGGCCTGGGTTGGGGGTGGGGAGCCTTCCCGGCAGATCCCTGAGCAGGGGACTTCTGGGAGGGGCCACACCCAGGTCCTCCGAGCCTCCCTCTGCCTTCCCGCATCCACAACAAACCTTTCCAAAGTGTCCACTCTTGCTTTTCCTAGGTGCTTAGGGTACCATCCCCTCGCTTTGTCAAGGGCGACACTGTCAGGGTGTTCCGTGTGTGTGTGTCCCCATGCACCTCGCCGGTTCATGCATTCCACCGGTGGGGCGGGATTTGTGTATCTTTCTTGAAATCAGAACCGGCTTTGGATATTTGTAATACATCTGTACCTGAAAAAGTAAACAGTGTTCTTGAATCAACAGCCTTCAGGTCAAAGAGAAGACGTGTTGGGAAGGAAGGAAGGCGAGCCGGCCGGTGTGGCGTGGAGCCAAGGCGCGCCGTTGAACTGCCTGGTTCCGTTGCCGAGACACACACGCCTGTAACCATGGTGCTTCTGTTCCTCATAGTGTTTGCCTGTGGGCCCTCCAAGCTGGACGTTCCTTAGGATGGTGTCTTTCTCAGGAATATATTGTGGGAGATGGTGAATGTCTGTGACTTTGGCTGCCGGAGGTCCCTGCATAGAGTTCGTAATGACACTACTCGCCAGCATCCTAAAGTCCTGGGCTGCCGACCCTGCCTTCGGTTACCAGCCCAGAAGGGGTCCAGTTGGATTGGCTGCTTTGGTGCCTGCACCCCCAGCAGGGCGAAGAACGGTTTAAATTAAGGAGCATATTTTCTCTCTACCCGTTTCTCTCTCTCTCCCTTTCTCAGCCTTGCCATAGGACGATGTCAGACCTTCTGAAGTTACGGTTTCTGTTTTAAATTGAATATCGATTTTTTTTTTTTACACTGACTGGCGTCCTTTTTGAAAGAATACCTAAATAAAATGCAGAATCTTTGGGCACAGACGTTGCACATTCAAACTCTTACCAGCTTGAGTTACTGGTGCAGTGGAAACAGTGCCCGTGATCAGTTAGGGTTTCAGATAGCTGTGTCCCACCGGCTGACACAATGCGTTTTTATTTCAGTTCTTGGAACCAAACAGGCTATTCTTTTCAAAGGGGGTGCCCTGTGCCCTGGGGCTAGTTTAATAAAGATACATCCACATTGGAGGAGACAGGAGTTCATTTGCCTTAAATGTTTGTAGATTTTTCTATAACCTTCAACCAAAGTTACTAAAATGTGGACGTTAAATGCTAAAGAGCAGGAGAAGATGTGAGGAGCGCGTGTCTGAGATCGCTCTCGCCCCGGCGATGTTTCGGCCAGTAGGTAACTTTTGGCCTTAAGTGTGTCCTTCCGACGCTAATGACCATTTTTAANATAAAGTAAGCCCCAGAGAAAATGCTTGACCAGCTTTTGGCCCAGCTGTTGTCATCTCCCGTTCTCCCTCTTGTTTTCAAATCTACAGGACGAATTCTGTACAGCAGGTGGTAAGGGGCAGATGGCCCCTGGGTGCATGTGTACNTTTTAAGGTTTTGTCATCCATCCATCCTTCGCATTATCGGTTAAGTCGAAACACGTCCGTAATGCTTTCGCTCACGTTCATAAAGTAAGCCCCAGAGAAAATGCTTGACCAGCTTTTGGCCCAGCTATTGTCATCTCCCGTTCTCCCTCTTGTTTTCAAATCTACAGGACGAATTCTGTACAGCAGGTGGTAAGGGGCAGATGGCCCCTGGGTGCATGTGTACTTGTGTGCGCGTGTATGTGTTGGGTGCAGTGTTGCAGCTCGTTGCACCAGTGTGGACCTCGTTTCCCATGGGGCGGGCGTGGCTGTGCCACTGTGTGTTGGGGAGCTGAGGTGCCCCCTTCTCCTCCGTAGTCCGTGAGAGTCTAGCACCCAGTCTTGCGTCCCATCTTGACCTTTGAGTGTGTGTGTGTAGATACGGCTCTGTGGGAGCCATGCCTGCCCGGGACAGCGAGCGTGCCAGCCACTCGGCGAGACAAACAAGAGCGGGCCTTGGGTTTACTCTCTTCTATCCAGGCCCCGCTGCATGAGGCTCAGCCCCCTGAACAGCAACGCCTGTCGTGGATGGTTTTGTGTTTCCATGCACATGAGCGTTTCTCAGGGTGTCTGCTACCCGATGGACGACATGCTTGTATGTTAGGCACCTGCACATCTGTGTCACCTGTGGCGGGTGGGCAGGTGGGCCTCTTCGTAGGTAACTTGTTTGGTGTTCACGTGGATGAGTGTGAGGGTGCCTGTGTTCCTACCCAGGCTGTATGGTTGAGAGATTTCCTAACTGCACCCATCGTTGGGGCGGTTGCTCTAAAGCTGGGACTTTTCCCTCCCCTCCTTTACTCCTTTCCTTCTGTTACACTGGCTTCTCCCAGGAGTAAACGGCTTTGGCACACACCTGTCCTATGGACTCTTGTTCAGGCCCCTCTGACCTGAGAGCGGAGAGAAAGGTTGAGTTCTACGATAATTACTGCTCCAGCTTCACTACCCTGGAAGCCTTAATATATGCTTCTCAGTATGACTTCAAAACAGCATCATCAAAAAATAAGATTGACCACTGAAGGCAGCACAGAAACATTGACACAATATTTAAAGAGCCCTGCCGCAGAGACCCTGCGATTGTAACGCGATGTGAGTATTTCTGGGTAGCGTTGTGTTTTATGGATCCTTTTTCAAAAAATAAATCACTACTGTGAATTCACTGCCCTGCAACCTTGTGGTCATATTGCATTAAAGTGCGAGCTGTTCTTAAGCCCACAGCACAGTCCCCGAGTGGTACGCAGTGGGTGGCGGATGGAGCTGGTTAGACCCCCAGGAAGGCACTGTATTGAGCTTTAGCCAAGTGGATGCTCAAAAGACTTAGACTTCAGATCATGTTTTTGATGAGACATTATGGTCAAAGAAGGAAGAGAAGCCTGGCCGGCGTGGCTCAGTGGTTGAGCATCGACCTAGGATCCAGGAGATCGCGGTTCGATTCCCAGTCAGGGCACAGGCCTGGGTTGTGGGCTTGATCCCCAGCAGGGGGGGTGCAGGAGGCAGCTGATGGAGGAATCTCATTATTGATATTTCTCTCTCTCCCTCTCCCCCTCCCTCTGTCCCTGAAATCAATAAAAATATATTTTTAAAAATTGTTTAAAGAAGGGTCCTAGCGTATTTATCAGGCACTGCGTGTTGGGGACTGTTCCTGGCAGCCATGCTATCACATTCTTTTAGGTAGGGGTTGTCTCAGTGTACAGGTGAGAAAAAGGGTGTCAGAGGGGGAGAGACCTGCCCAAGGTCTCATGGGCAGTAAGTGGAAGTTTGCATCCAGTGTTTGGTTCCAATCCCTCGGTCACTGTACCTCGAGGTGATCTAAATGATTTTGACATTTTGGATGCAGAGGAGGGACCTGGGGACACTTAACCTTGAACCAGAACCTGGGGTGGGAGCTTTGTCGGAGGTAGAATTGCTTTTGCTCCTTCACTTCGGGTTTGCCCGGAGGTGTGGCCCCACCGGGGGCTTCTCCTCCGGGAGGGCAGATTTCTTGGGGTTTTCAATGAAAAGAACTGGAGAATCCTCCTGCCCCCAGAAAAACCAGCCCTGCCAGTGCCGCATCTGATATAAGACCCAAGTGCTGTTCCCTGCAGCCACTCTTTGCTTTTGCCCCTCCCTCTCCCTCACCTGCTAGCTTGGGCAGGTGTGCGCCCTGGGCTTTGGTCTTGGGCCATGTGCCCTGAGGTGTGCCCCGAGGTGTGCCCCGAGGTGTGCAGGGGCTGGCCTGGCCTCCTGAGCTGAGAAGCCTCTTCCTGGTGCTGTGTCGGCACCGTGTCCTTGGTTGGGGTGGAGAAGCGCTGCCCACAGGCCTGGCCTGGGAGGTTTGCAGCTGGAGTCTGGCCTCCCTCCCTGACATCATGTCCTCAGCAAGCTCTTTGCATCCACTGGTTTCTCTCGCAATTTCCCTCAGGAGCTTTAAAGAACAGACATAAAACAGGACTCTGAAAACACTGTTTCCCTCTATTCCAGTGTCTTTGAGTTTTTGGCTCGGTTGGGCCTAAACTACCCTTTTCTCGCCTGCTGTTTGCTTTCAGTAAAGGACAGGGAAGGGGAGATCGTGCTAACTCGTCGGGAGCTGGGACAAGTTTCAAAGGGTAGATAAGAAATCTAAAACTACTGAATAAAATTAGATTTCAGGACTGTGAGTCCCTTTACCGGGCCTTGTCCCATTTCTCCTTAGCTAACCCCACTTGTTTTGTTTCACTTGTAAAATAAATCTCCATCGTGAGTGTCCCCAACACAACAACAGATTCCTGACACCTGGAACGTCACTTCCCATACTGCGCTAAGAGTCTACAATGTATATGTCTCAGCTAGAAAACATCAGTGTTTCGACCTTTTCTTGGTGGAATAAAAACACGCTGATCTTAAGCCTTGGGACAAATGTGACAACCCCCGGGCTTCTATCTTGAATGTCTTTGGTATTTCTTTTGGCACTGAAGTAATGTTTGGATAAAAATATTTGAATGTACAGTGGTCTGGTTTCATGTGTGCTTATGTTTATCTGAACTTTCCAGTGGGGACATGAGCTTGCATCCTGAAGGGGCCCATCAGATGGGAGTTTTTAAACCCCATGAGGCTCCAAGCCCTGGGAGGACCAGAGACTTGCTCAGGGAGTCAATCAGGGAGGGGACCCAGGCATCTGGCGTGCAGGACACAGTCTGGTTCAACTCCTGTTGTGGGGAATTTAGACAGTGACGCGTCATCACCATTCCAGGCGCCAGGTGGGAAGAGGTAACACTTGCTTTTCATTTGCTGGCCTTCCTGACTTATAGACATAATGAAATATTCACTTCAAGTTGATCATCTGATTTTTTTTTTAAAAAAAGAAAAAAATCCAAACTTTGGCGATAATTCCTTATCTTTCTCATGGATTCACTGTAGGCTTTAATTAAATAGAAAACTCCTCTGGACCCCTAAATTATGACATGATTGACCAAATTTGATTTCTAAGCCGCCGTCTATGAGTACAAATGTGTGTGGAGTGTCCGGCCGGTGGGTGCTGGCTCAGTGCTGGGGGGACATGGCCGGCCTTGTGGATGGCCGCTTCCTCAGCACGGACGCTAGGGAGAGGGCCAGACAGGTCTGGGCCATGCACGTCTTAGAGAAGTTTATTTGACAGTCACTTTTGCGTTGAAAGAACTGTACATTTCCAGGTGTAGAATCCAGCATCAACCCAAGATGGCCAGTGACCGAACTGTCTGTCTCTATCTCACGGAGCCTTAACTACTCTTGCAAAGATGTGGCCGGGGGTCTTTCGTGTTCTTACTTATAGTTGACACTCACTTTGTAACCAGGAGGCCAGTTCTGCCCACCAGCCCGAACTCCTGATTGCCATTTGCGTGTGACAAGGCCTGGGTGTGGTTTCCTGCACACACTGTGGGGTGGGCTCTCCGGAGACCGTTCTGACGGCGGAGATGAATGAGTGAACTACCAGCAGCCACCTGTGGGGGGCGCTTACCTGCATTCACAGGCTGTGCTGTGAGACCCCCCCCCCATTGTAGCATCAGTAAAATGCAGCGTTTTTGAGGGACAGAGTGCACCTGACATCCAAGGCATTTTGTTTCCTTTTGAGTCCCCCTGTCAAACATTTTACATGTTACATTTTTTTTATACTGTCACACTTGGAAAAAAAACAGAAATCCCAAGTTGTATTTTGTTTCTTTTTTTCATCTAGAGTTTTACGTTTTAGGGAACCTTCAACCTGCATGATTTTGGTAGCGTCTTAAAGATAACCAGTCAAGCTTCTGTGAAAATGAGACAATTAGGGTGCATCGAATGGGAAAGTAGGATCGCCATTGTAACAAGAACTACTGGTTGCAATCTTTTTATGGTCAAGAGCATATTCTAAATGAATAGACGATTGGAAATTAAAGCCTTAGGCTCTAAAACCTGGAGATGAAACAGCCTTTTTGAATAAATCAGCAAGTGAGAAAGGATCTTTGCATCAAGAGTGACAAGAGTGTCAGACCCTGGATTTGGTGGAGAGGGGCCTGGGGGCTGAATACTGGATTGTTTCTGTGAGTAGCTTGGTCATTTAAATTAATGCCTTATTTGACATAGGTCTGTTTAAAGGGAACTTGATTACTTGACAAAGAAATGTGAGAGGTGCCTCCTGCGACACTCAGTTAGCTTTTTACCTGTGCAGAGAGGTGCCAACAGCGCACACATTCTCATCTGTTGCATGGACAGGAGCTCAAGAAAGGAACTGATGTGAAGATATTCCGTGTATAGATTATTGATAAGCTATCTCTCTGGGCCATCAGCCAAGATGTGCACAGTACATCCGCACGAGCAAATGCTACTAGAGAAAAGACGCAAGCTGTGTGCAGACATAAACCAAAGGCGTTTGTGTGACCTCAGGAAAATGCCACCAGCCCTCAGTTTTCTCATCTGTAAAACTGGGAGACTAACCAGACCCATCTCCTAAGAACTTTGCAAAGATTAAATGAGATAATTCCCATAACACAATAGCATAGTGCTCCAGGCCAAACCTTCCATATCAGTTTTGAAAGTTTTAGACCAATAACTAAGCAGCTACTTACAGACAGTACCCGGGTGGCCCTCGGGGCTAACACAGGAGACCACAATGGGATTTAAACTCCTTGCTCATGACTCACGTCCTCCCTGTGAGAACAAGGAGATTTCCCTGGGCTGGGCACAGGCCACTTTTATGACAGACAACATTCCTTGGCTGTTTGAAAGATTAGCTTCAAAGATGGCTTTGAAAACTTACCTCCTCAAGAGGTCACCGGAGGTAAGCTTGGGCCTGGCTGGACGGCAGCGTGGCCCAGCTTGGGACACGCCTGCCTTGAATCACGGTGAGGGGCAGAAAAAAGTGAGGAGGCCCCGCTGCACTGTTACCCAGCAGTACCGGGGAACTGCAGCGATTCTGGTTAATCAGTTGTTCCCACATCATTCAGTAAAGGACTGCCTACTTGGCGCTGGAGATACAAAGATAAATCCCTTGCCCGTGATTTAGTGAAAGGGCAGATATGGAAATATGTGTTGCAATTTAAATAAGTGCCACGAGCCCCAGCCAGTTTGGCTCAGTGGGTAGAGCGTCAGCCCGGCGACTGAAGGGTCTCGGGTTTGATTCTGGTCAAGGCCACGTACCTCGGTTGCAGGCTTGATCCCCGGCACCAGTCTGGGGCTTGTGTGGGAGGCAACCAATCGATGCTCCTCTCTCTCTGTCTCTCTGCCTCTCTGCCTGTCTCTGTCTCTCTGTCTCTCTCTCCATTCCACTCGCTCTGAAAAGCAATGGAAAAAATATCCTTGGCTGAGGATAAGCGAGTGCTGTGAATCGGGGTGTGCACAGAATACCGCAGGAACAGAAGGGAAGGGGGTCCCTTCCGGTCACCTAGGCAACTGGATAGATGGTGAGATCACTCATCCAAACTGGGGCTCCACCTAGAGGAGGAGGGGAAGCCTAGGAGAGAAGGTAGTGGGTTCGGGGTTTGTTCCACTGTTTGAAGTGCTTATGCAACGTCCTAACCAAGATGTCCAGAGTGGCTGAATGAATGGGTCTCCGTCAAGGTTAGACCCCGACGTGGAGGTCATCACATACAGGCAGCGGCTGAAGGGCATGGAAGATGCTACCCAGGAAAAATGTTAGAGTTGAGAGATACTGTGAAGCCCTCGCAAAAAAAGGGTGGGCAGAGGATGGGAGGCCACAAAGGAAATCAGGAGAAACCCACAGAGAGAGGACAGGGGCAGGATCAGAAGATCAAGAGAGGATTTTCAAATAGTCTTAATATTTTCAAAATATGACTTTAATGACAGCTAGTATTCCATGAGAGGATTTGCCCTATTTTCGAAGAATTTGCCGTGTCTTACACATGTTAAGAGGTTGAGAAAATAAATTAGAACATAATAATTCACGCTTAACGCTAAAACTACCGAGCACAATGTAATTTTTAGAGAGTTCGGAAGGCACTTGGGGGGGTGGGGGGTGCTTATTTTAGTGCCTCAGGGCATCGCTATGAACTCTTTATTGCTGTCCTGGTCAACTGTGGGAGTGTTGATCAATGGAGAGTTAACTGACCTCTGGATAAGCCAACCTTTACTCCACACGGGAAGGCTCACTGGACAGAGAAGGGGTGACCAGATCCGAGCTCGGGCTAGGGAGCCAGCTGATGGGATCAGGGTCGTGAACCCATCAGAAAAAATGAAAACCTTTCATTTTTTCAGTTCTCCCCACTCCCGTGCGTTTGTACGAGACTTGTCACCTCAAGGGAAGCTCGGAGTGCAAGTTAACCTTCCGTCCCAGTACCCTAATGTACTAGAAATGGTGGTGACATGCATACACATGAGCTTCAAGGCCTCTCGATCGCCCTCCAAAGGCTCGGACCTATGTTCGTAACGGTCTGGCCTACACTTAAAACAGGGAGCTTAATGGAGCCGAGGGAAGCTGACCCCTCCATCAGAGGGGTCCTAGCTGACGCCCTAGGCCCGGGGGCTACAGGGATTAAGTGTGTGTCTTCCCTGGCCTCTGATGCTAATAAGGTCACTCCATGCTTGTGAGTTAGCAAGCTGTCACTCTGTTACTGTCACAGTCAGAGGCGACACGTAAACTTGAGTAGAGGTGTCAGGGGCTAGTTCTCCCCGGCTGCCGGATTCCAGCACCGCCACGTCTGCTGACGGTGGGGCAGAGAGCCAGAGCCTTCCGGTGACGGTGACAGTCAGCATGGGGATAACCCCCGCGTGTCCCGGCTGAGCAGGGTGACTGCGTGTGGAAAGGCCTCCGCCGAGTGCGTGGCTCCTGTGGGGAAGGGAGAGGGAGAGGGGCTGGGAGGGGGGCTGCTGGGCCGGCTGCGGCTGCCCCGTGCCGTCTGCGCGGACGTGGGGCTGGGGTTTTGTTTCAGCGAAGCCGGGTGGAGCGGGAGCTATTCGTCCTCGCTGTCACTGTCGTCATCGCCCTCCTCATCGGAATTGTCATCGTCATCTTCGTCGTCGCCGTCTTCGTCATCCTCGCGGTCATCTTCTTCTGTGTTTATCTTCCCAGAGAGCACGTCCTCAATCCAGTCCTCCAGCTCCTCGGCCGTGGGCAGGTCGTCGTCATCTGGAATCTCCATCCAGACGCTGTCAGCCTGCAGCGAGGGACAGGACGCGCGTGAGAGCGAGAGGAGGCGAGAGGGGCGAGAGGGGCGAGCCAGGCCCGGGGCCCGCGTGGCCCAGCTGGGCGGGCCCCGGGGCAGGCGCGCATCAGAAGGTGTGCGCGCCGTTCGGTGGAAACGCCGGCTGCAGAGTGGCACACGCAGCACCCGTGTGCAATATGAAAGGACGAGTGTGCGCGCGTGTGTGTGATCTGTGCAAAGGGCTTCGGGGGAAGGGGAGTGCACAGGGAGGCGGGGCTGTGGAGAGTGAGCGGAGGGGTAGGCCTCGGCCCAGCGCTGAGCCCGGCAGCTGCCCCAACCTCATTCCTCCTTAGAGATGCCACTTCCCCCACCCCCACCCCTTATGTGTACCTTGCCTCCCCACCCTGGAGAGTCCCTCCAGGTCACCAGCACGGCCGTGGCAGAGCCCACTCCCTACCCTAACCTGCCGCCCTCCTTACCTGAGGTCGGTGTGTGGGGAAGTTCGAGGGGATGGGAGGAAGCCCAGGACTGGCCCAGCTCCCAGGGGCATTGAAACTGAGTATTTTTATGCATCGTAATTGTACTTGCATTGTTTGTTTCCTCTGACTATATACAAGATACCTATAGTCCAATATATATTCCACTTTTATTTTTTTATTTTATTTTCTTGTGAGTGTGCCCGTAGAAGAGAACATGGAATCACAGGCTGGGGCTGGCTCAGAGATGAGCCTTGGGCCACACTGGCACGTTTCCTGAGCTTGGCAGGGCCCAGGGGCCTACTCACTTTATGAGGGACGGGACTCCCCACACGGTCAAGGCCGCATGGCGGAACCCAGGGCCGGCTGCGGTGCCTGAGCAAGCTTTCATGGGGTATACTCACATCTGTCACGTTCACCACCCCGATCTGTGGCTTGAATAGGTCAATCTTGAAAGTCTTTTCCCAATAGGCAATAAGCTGCGGCGACAGAAAATAAAATTAGACGGTGGGTAAAGGGCATTCCCTGCTAAAATCACTTTTTGTGGTGAACCCACCTGCCATCCCATCATAGAGACTAGGTCACCATTGGTAAAAGGGCCCCAAAACAGCTGTGGGCACTTAGGAAATTGAAGACTTGCCCCAGCCCTCAAGCCCTTTAAATAAGCATGGAAAGGAAAGGATGCCATAACACAAAGTATGAAAACATATAATATAGGAGCTGCTACAGCTGTGAGGGAGAATATTACAGAGGTGGTCCAAAGGCGATCCCCAAATTACTCGGGGCTCTTTTATAGTTTATGTGTGGTGGAAGAGATTTCCCTCCACCTCTCTTTTAATGTCCCATTTAAAAATCCCTTATGCTGTGCCACTCTGCCTCGTGAGGTTGCTGGGAAAGCAGTGACGTGCCATGAGGTGGCATATAAGTGAGAAAAGGGCTCTCCATTCAGCCAGGCCTGGGCCCATGTGGATGAATCTCCGACTGGGGCAGGACTGAAGGATTAGGGGCCACGGGGCTAAAAAATGGAGGTGTCCAGTGGTAGAAAGTCTCCCAAGCAAATATATGGCCTGACAGGGCTTGGGGATAGTCAGGAACCTGGAAATCAGAATAATCTAAAGATTTCTCCTTTGCAAAAAGCAAGGCAAACCTATAGTGCAGATCAGGAAGAAGCAGACCATCTACAAGCTTGTGTAGCAACAATAGCCCGGATAAACACAATCACAACTAGAAACACAATCAGGCAGTGGCCAAAGTTATAGCATGTAGTGCCGCGTAAGGCCTGTGACTTACTTATGATCACCTGAAATGATGACACTGACCTCAGGTGTTGTGGAAGTCCCTGCCTTTGATCCTCTCATTCTCTATGTGGGATTGGGTTTCAGGACCCTTGTAATCACTAAAACCCCTCAGATTTGTCTATTTAATCATAGTATGACCGGTTGTGACCTATGCACCAAACAATAATTCCTAGAAGAAGCTACACTTATCATTTATAATCGAACAGTAATTACATGTGTACTGCTGACCAGCGGTTAGTGCAACCTAAAGGTCTGGGGACTGATAGACGGAGCTTTGGCATCACGCAGACCTGTTGGAATATCACACCTGCCACATCTGTTTTAGCCTCTCCAGCTGTCCTTCCTCTCATCTGTAACACAGGGATTATAATAGCCCCCACTCCACAGGGTTGCTGAGAGGGTTAGAGGGGGTGACGCCTGTAAAGGACTCACCATAGCTCCAGGCATACAGTACAATACAGTAGCTACATTCATTGTCATTACCCCGGGCTTGTGTGTTGTCCGAATTCTGCTTATTCTCTGTAAACTAAGCATCATCAGGACTTTCTGCTCATTGATCACTGACACTAGCAAGAGGTGGGACTTTAAGGCTCTTACACTCTGCAGTCCAGGGCTGGACGTTACACTAGGACCTGGGAGAACCCGGAGAAGACAGACAGGGTCTCTGCCCTCCAAGAGGCTGCTCCTTCCCTCCACGAAGTTCTTGACTCCATGCAAAATGTTCACATCTGGATTTTATTACTTAGTAACTCAGGTTGCCTCAGAATGACGGTCCCCACCCAGAAAATGAAAGAGGTTATAGCTAATGGGTGGGACGGGGTGAAGGGCAGCTATGGAGCTGCTGGCAGAAGCATTTCACCCAGCTCATTTGAGTGGCCCCAGAGAGGGCCTTCTGGTCTCCAGGGAGTGAGAGCAGTAAGTCTAACCATGTCAAGGGCGGCACCAGGCCCCAAGTTCAATGCTGTCCTGGTAGCCAAAATCTCCCACGCTGGATAGGGGCCACCCCTGGGTTTCTGCAAGTGCCCCTCCTGTTTCACATCCTGCTTCATGTGACAGGACCTCACACCACACACAAGCATGAGACTGTGAAGGTGACCAAGGATGGGGTCTGAGCCACTCACCAGCGGAAAGTCATCAGGGTCAATCCAGACGATGCTCAGGTCCGGGTTGTCGGTGTTGTCCCGGGCCACCTGCTTCAGGGTCTCCAGGAACTCGTAGCCATCTGAAACAGGGTTCAAGAAAGCTGGGTAACCCCTGCGCACACGTGGCTTCCCACGCGGGGAGCAGAGACTGCGGCTTTTCCACAAGGGTTTCCTGAGCCATTTGGTGCGGGTGCGTACTCTCAATTATAGGATTATTCTAGCAAATGAGTCAGATGAGAACTGCCGCCACAAAGCAGCTTACTCAAAGGAAACAATAGTTTTTGAGTCAAGAAATGAAAAGTTCACAGGGAAGTATGTAACTCAAAGCCAAGCTCCGATCGCTAATCTGCCCGTGAAGATTGACCGGCCTGGCCTGGGGTCGGAAAGTTCAGCCCCAGAGCAGGGGGACCCCTGCCTGGTCCTCAGCGCTCTTAAAACCAATACCTTGCTGTCCCTCAGCATTCCCAGTAAATGTGCTCTAGGGACCAGAACATTTAGCCTGGACCCTTACTCCTTACAGCCTGGAATTCCTAAACCCTTCCAATGAAGCCAGCTTCTGATCTACAGCTGGTTTCATCATTTGGAGAAGTATGTGGGGCGTCCCTTCCTCCCTCCCTCCCTCCGTGTGCTCTGCTCTCCCCCGGTTCAGTCAGCAGCACTCATTGCCCCCCCGGGGGAGGGATGATTCATAAGAAAAGCAGAGACAAGCCTTGTGAGTTTCAAGAACACACATTTTGGGGGTTGTCTTTTTTTTTGCTTTAAAAGCTTAAATCTTGTAGGACTGGGAACAGCATAAAACTTATGCCATAAACAAACATTTTGGAAGAATGTTTAGGAAGAAAAAGTTGTGGCAACCCCACCCCACTCCCAACTAGAAACAGAGTTTAGATTCTGGAAAGTCCCTGGGAATAAGCCTGTGTGTGTGTGTGTGTGTGTGTGTGTGTGTGTCTGTATGCACAAACCCAGGCCAACGTGTGCCTAGCTGTCCACATACAGAAATGCCATAATTTCAGGGAATCCTAGAATATCGGGCACCCATGCTCTGTTCTGGAATAAAACTCAGGAAAATGGGAAGACCCAGAATCTCCTGGAGAACCCCCCCCCCCCC